ATTCTCACCAACGAGCAGGTAGAGTTAAACCAACAACCATTTTAGTTTACTGGGTGAGAATCGTGCTTGATTTCTTGCCCCATGCTCTTTAATTGGCCGCCTGTAAAGCTTGTTGAGAGTTTAACAGCTACTACTTGCAGCAACCTCCATATTCCCCCGATAGCTTTTCTTAACTCTAATGGTACAGAACTTTGATGACTCAGACCAGAAATAACATCATTCACTCTACCATCCCTGTAATAAAAAACTTTGGATTTTTCTCTCCATACAGGGGGCCGCAAATGTATTTTTACCCTCGCACGTTTATAAAAGCATTCGGCATGCCTGCTAACAAAGCTTGGATGTATGTTTCAGGAACTTAGTATCTTTCAACTCGACACCATTTGCCTGAAACCAAAATAATAATTACGAAAGTTAAGAGATTATTTACTTCTGGAGTGAAATGTACTAAATGATTTGCCCTTTCAAACATAAACCTGAGTTATCAGGTTTTGTCAATCACAAAATTACACGCCGGGTTATTAGTATTCCTTGGAGACCTTCCTATATTATCATAAATATCTAAGACAAGCAGGTCTTTTAGCTGGGTAATCTATGTTAAAAATTACGCTGTACAGCACTTAATTATTTTCCTCACTCGTTATTTTTCTCACAATGCAACTTGGCGTAGTACGCAATTATTACTACGCAGTCATATCTGGTGTTCAATTGGGAGAAGAGTTTGTTATTTTTATTTTAGAGGTGAATTGCGATTTCTTGTATGTCCCCGATTTAGTGGAAGAAAAGCTCGAACAAATACTGAAAGTAACGAGTAATTAAGTCACTATGAACAACTAGTACAAAGTGACAGCACTATCGAGTCAAACTGAGAACTGTTCTTTAATGATTTTTAACATGAACCACCAATTCTTACTATTTTTAATTTCTGGGTTTTTATAGACTTTGACATGTTCTTGAGAATATATTAAATCGGTTAGCGCTAGCGCTGTTGTTCCCTTCTAAATTATTTTGGTGGAAGCGCCTCACAAGACGCTGGTTTAACTAAAACCATGTTGGGCGACGTTGCATTTTGACTGCACAACCCGCAATTAAAATTAATTTTAATGGCTATTCGAGTGTGTGAAGAACGGAAAAGAGCAAAATTACATACCATCGGCTTTTGGGTGCAGGGACGAATTAAAACTTTCTACAATTTCACTTATCCATTGCTTGTAACTGACAGACCTTGTCCTTACTCTTGCGGGAGGCCGTACGATCTGTTGTCCATTGTAGAACTTGGCAAACGTAGCGCACTCTGCCTCGAGCGCAACAATGTGATCTTTCGATTCTCTATCTCAGCAGCGCAGTTGTTGTGTTGAACATGAACGAATAATACATCGCAGCGTAACTTGCAGATAGCTAGAGATGCCATGTTTAGGATAAGCGCTGAATATGGACGAGCGTTAAAGCCGCTACTGAAAAAGCACAATCGACCGCTTTTCATTGTAAGGAGGTCTTTCACACAGAAGAACGTCGATTTCGCTCACCTAAGTAGCGAAGTACGCTACGAGCGGCGACGATGATCAAACACCTGGAAGATCACCGTGGTGTCCCTCTACTCTTTGGTATCATAACCAAGAGCGAGCCCTTTCGACTTGTCACTAAGTTTTACGGTTTATAAAACAAAGGCCCCGCTCTACACAAAGCCTTAAAGAATGAAACACTAGAAAAGCTTACTTAGCTTGGAATTATAAAAATTTCCTTTCTTAAAAATCGAAGATTTTCATGGTTTCCGTAACTTCGTATTTTTCCAAATTTCCTCTTTTACATGTTATGC